TCTTACTCTTTCTGTGGATAAAAATTTTGAGTTGAATCTTGTTGGAACTCCTGTGAGTGGCAGTGATCCATATTCTAATAGATCTGGTAATATCAGAACTTTCCTCAATATTTCTCAAGTTTCAACTGCCATGACTCTAACTAAGAGTATGATGGACGATTCTTCAGGTAATAATCTTCAATTAAGCAGTAATGCTTCTCAAAATAGACTAAATGGAAGTGAATCCATGCTCATTGATAGATTTGTTAATTTGATGAAAATTGGTGAGGGTTCATTTGGTTTGGTTTTCAAGGGTCAAGATACCAAGCAAAACTTCCAATGGAAAGCCATCAAACTTATTCGTTTCTCTGATTTGAATGAACTTAACCAAACTCTCAGAGAAGCCACACACCTTTTAAGAATGGTACACCCACATATTGTACGAGTGAATGATGTTTTTATTGATGCAAATCAACACATGCTTTGTATGGAGATGGATTATTACGAGTTGGGAGATTTTGAACAATTTATGAACAATCAGTGCTACTTGGGCCAAACCGTTTTATCAGAAACACTCGTCTCACACTTAATTTATCAAATTTGCAGTGCTTTGGATTATATGAACACTGAGTACAATATGATTCACAGAGATATTAAGCCTTCCAACATATTTATCAAGAGTTTTGACTATCACCGTTCTCAGATTCATATTGTATTGGGTGATTTTGGTTTGGCAAAGAAAGGTAGAAATTCCACTAGTGGAGCAACTAGTAATAATGCAAACATTTCCAGAGTTTCAGACAGTAGTGATATTAATTTGAGTCAAGCATTGGTCACAGGAGATGCAAATACTCTACTCAGTACTCAAATGGGCTTTGCTGGAACACCAATCTACATGAGTTGGGAAGCAATTGTTCAAGGTAAGAATTGTTTCCAAACAGACATTTTCGCTCTTGGTGTAACTGCCTATCAATGCCTGACTGGTGATAGACAAACTTGCATTACTCAACTCTATTTGAAGGAACACCAAAGACGTCAACTCAATCTCAATCTCATGTCCAGCGAAAAGGATGTAGAAAATCTTGTCAGAGAAAATATTATCAAGTGCTCTCCAAATTGTTCCATTGAATTGGTAGATATGGTCATGCAAATGTTAAAGAAGAATCCTGAAGATAGACCAAAACCAAGTGATGTCACCAATTCTTCTTACTTTTCAAATAAATACTAGAATGATTTGTGCTACTTTACAAATATTGTTAGAGATTCAAAAAAATGTATCAATTACCAGCCGAAGATTTTGCTTTTGATAAACATCAGATGTTTTATGAGATTGAAATTCCTTCCGATAGCCATCAAATATTCTCTGATGACATTTGCTATGAAATAATTAACTATTTGAACGGAGATTGGAAATTTATACTCTCTAGTTGTGTACTAATTTCCAAGCAGTGGATGGCAGGTATTAAACGGCATGCCAAACTGTCAATTGAATTTCAGTACTACATTGACAAGGATCATTGGAATGATGAAATGTTTGACTTGATGAGAAAGAGTCAATTCTTGGAATGTTTTTCGAGTATGAAAATTGGAATAGGTACATTAGTTAGCGATACTGTAAAGTTGTGCAATTTTATTCGAATGTGTGGAAAATTAACTAAACTTGATGTTAGTTCATGGTTGGTAAATGCAGAGGGAGCCAATATGATAAGCAATCTCGCTCATTTGGCCGACCTTGATATCAGCAATAATCAATTACTTGAAAGAGGTTCAAAAATTATTAGAGAAATGACTCAATTGACCAAACTAAATATTAGCAGAAACAATATCAATGCAGGAGGAACCAAATCAATATGTGAAATGACTCAATTAACTGATCTCGACATCAGTAACAATTTTATAGGCAATGAAGGTGCCAGTTATATTGGTGGGATGACCAAATTGACCAATCTTTCAATTTCTGAAAATCACATTGGAGTTGAGGGCATTAAATCACTTTTTCACATCAATAATTTAATTTGCCTTAATATCAGCTCTTGTAAAATTGGAGATGAAGGAGCAAGGTTGATTAGTGAGATGAAGCAATTGACCACCTTAGAAATTAGTCATAATGAAATTGGCTCTTATGGATCCAAAGCTATTAGTGAAATGTATCAATTGACTAAACTTAATATTCGATACAATGTACTTGGCAACGAAGGAGCTCACTATATTGGAATAATGGAACAATTGACTGAACTTGACATTTCTCATAATCGAATTAGCGGAGAAGGTGCCAAGTCATTAAGCAAATTGAGTCAACTCACAAAATTAGATATCAATACCAATGAAATTGGCGATGAGGGAATGAAGTCAATAAGTAAATTGGACCAATTATTATATCTTGACATTGGAGAGAATGAAATTGGTGATATTGGAACGGGTTTAATTATTGGAATGTCCAAATTGACTGAACTTTTGATAAATGACAATAGAGTTGGAAATGATGGAGCTGAATCACTTGCTCAAATGCATCAATTAACTCAATTGGATATTTGTAACAATCCAGTGAATGATGATTCATTGGAATTGCTTTCAAAACTTCCAGATTTGATAAATTTCTACTTTTGTTAAAACTCCAATTCTGTATTTTCATTTGATTTCACTAAAATTCCTTGTTATTTTCCAAAGCCT